TATTACTGTTAATAATGTTTTCACATTTTATTATCAATCACCAACATATTCAAAAATTTTATAAATGCAGCTAGCAAGGTAAATGACTGTTTAAGGTACATGAATATGTAATTAGAGCAATTAGGCGTTATACTAGCTATGTAAGTAACCTACAGTCATAACCACCACCACCTCCTACCCTTACTCTAACTACAATTTCAACCACAATTTTCTTAGAAATTGTAAGAATTTCATGCCAAATTGACCTCTTGGTACCCTGAGCATTATTTTTATTCCTTTTGGGTGCCATGATTATTATCCAGAGATGATACAAGGTGATATGAGTGAAAATAGAAAAAGATAACCACGGAGCCTATCATATGGTACATGTTCTGAAGGTGATAACTAGTATTTTTTTACACTAAACAGTGATGCAAGGCCTTCCCAAAACCAAAAAAATGGCCTTTCCCAATGAATGGAGGGATGCTCTGTAAGGTAATGTGCTCCACTAATTCCACTCCAGCAAGCACTGAGGGTAACAGATAGCTACAACCAGAAATGAAAAACAATTTTAATTGCAAAATATTGAAAATGCAAGCTATGAACACACGACTTACAGTTGTCTACTGTACTCTCCTCTGAATACTAACCACAATCAATATGATGACCAATGCTGCCTTTCCCAGAAACCACCTTATACTCCTACCTGGTGTGGACCACCAAGATGACACCTTCAGAATTAAATGAACAAGACTTAGCAAGACAGAGAACACCAACAGTGTAACTATCCTTCAGCTAATAATCAAGGAGGAATAACCATAATAAACACCTCTAGCTCTACACCCCAATTTACAACTCATGGATCTGTAGGCATCTTCCAGTAATACTTCTGCCATCAGATAGCCCATTGGATGGCCACTCAATGTCCCACCAGTGGGCCAGCCGACACACCTTAATATGGTCCAATTTCCTTCTGGTGTAGCAAGAACCCCCACAGAGGTATTCTCAGAAGGAATGCTAAAACAGAGTTCCTTGCACAAGGAGCAAAATTCAACTAAAGGGGAAATATTTGGACTAAAAGAAGGAGGGGAGGTAGCAGATTTTCAGACCTACTTTAAAGAAGGGGAGAAAAGTTCTAAATCCTTGATAATGAGCCTTTCACAGCATCAAGGCTGATTATACATTCCCATCCCCCTCTCTCTCATTTTCAAAAAGTACTCATTCAGTAGCTGTCTTGTTGAAACTCATAGTTCAAATGATGCTCCTAACATCATTTTCACTTATCCTTCAAAGTGCAGACACTGTACTACCTACCTCTAGAACTCAAGTCTGGCTAACCAGTTGCCATGTATCCCTTCCCTCCACTCAGATCTAACATGCTCATACATACCTGCTGGATGATCATACCCCTACCACTTAAAACCTTTCAATTCTTCAATAAATAAACCCCTGGCTGTCTTCAAGAAGGCACTGGACAGACACCTAAAGTCAGTACCTGACCAGCTTGGCTGTAGTTCATACGTCAGTTTGTGTGTGGCCAGTGGTAACAGCCTGGTTGATCAGACCCTGATCCACCACGAGGCCTGGTCTCAGACTGAGCTGCAGGGGCGTTGACCCCTGAAACCCTCTCCAGGCATACTCCAGGTAACACATCCTCTCATTCACATCTTGACGATCCATCTTCCACTAATTTCTTCACACCTTATTCTCTGCACAATATTCTCACTACACATTGATTTCTAGGTGCCTCTTCATTACAACAGTTGAAGACCATGTCTCATATCCATACAGAAACAATGTAATAATAATAATATCTTTATTTCTACAAGTACATGTACAAGGTATACAGGCCTAGCTGACATCAATGACATACTACTGCACAGAAAGCCCCTTGTTATGCAGAGCATTTCGGGCATATTAGGTCAGATACCCCACCAAATGACTACCTCACTGGCAACTACCCGAACACACTGTTCCTAGCTCCGACTAACCCATACGAAGTCTCCCTTATTATCAACACGCTAAAAAACAAGGCAGGAGATTTAAATACCTTACCACCCTTTATATACAAAAAAGTGTCACAAGTGCTATCACCAATCATTGCAACACTCTTTAACAAATCCATTGAATCCTCCACCTTCCCTACAGTACTCAAAATAGCAAGGGTCACCCCGATCCACAAAGGAGGAGACCAAACAGAGTTGAATAACTATAGGCCAATATCCAACTTACACCCTCTCTCAAAAATCTTCGAAAAATTAATTCATAAACGAATCTACTCCTACCTTATCTCCCAAAACATACTCAACCCCTGCCAATTTGGATTCAGGCCAAATAAAAATAATAATGATGCTATTATACACATGCTAGAACATATATACACTGCAATAGAGAAAAAAGAAGTCCCACTGGGGATCTTCATTGACTTACGTAAAGCTTTTGATACAGTTAACCATGACTTGCTCCACGTAAAATTGTCACACTATGGTATAAGAGGGCACTCCCTCAACTACCTCAAGTCATACCTCAGCAACAGAAGCCAATATGTGTATGCAAATGGGGCAAACTCTTCTGCACAACCAATTACAGTTGGTGTCCCACAGGGAAGTGTCCTTGGCCCTCTTCTCTTTCTCCTATACATAAATGACCTACCAAATGCTTCGCAATTACTCAAACCCACACTATTTGCAGATGACACTACATACGTCTTCTCCCACCCGAGCCCAGTCACGCTAGCCAATACTGTAAATACCGAATTACAGAAAATATCTACCTGGATGAGGACTAACAAACTTACACTAAACATTGACAAAACCTACTTCATTCAGTTTGGTAACAGAGCTACAGATGTCCCTCTTAACATAATGATAAACGGATCACCTATCACAAAGCTAACAGAGGGAAAATTCTTAGGAATCCACCTTGATAATAGACTCAAATTTCATACACATATACAACAAATTTCTAAGAAAATTTCCAAGACTGTAGGCATACTATCGAAGATACGGTACTATGCTCCACAGTCAGCCCTCCTGGCCCTATATCACTCTCTTATTTACCCTATCTCACCTATGGAATTTGTGCATGGGGCTCAACAACAAGTAACCATCTCAGACCACTAATTACCCAACAAAAGGCTGCAGTTAGAATGATAACAAATTCTCACTATAGGCAGCACACTCCACCAATATTCAATACACTAAACCTATTCACCATACAAAACATTCATACTTATTACTGCACCTATTACATACATAGAACACTTAACTCTGATATTAACCCTCCCCTCAAACATCTCCTTGCCAACCTCAACAGAACACATGACCATAACACAAGGCACAGATCACTCTTTGATGTTCCTCGTGTCCATCTCACACTATGCAAAAACTCAATTGCACATAAAAGGCCCTAAAATCTGGAACTCATTACCTGTAAATATAAAAGAAACACTACCTGTTTATAAATTCAAGTCTCTTCTCAAAGATCACTTACTCACCCAAAACCAAATAAATACTGAATAACTGAACCTTATAAATTGTATATCTTAAATGTTTCTCACAATTATATCACATAAATGTTAAACCTAAAACCCAATCTAACTTTATTATTTTTTTAAATACACTACCTAACAGAATACTCCATTCTACTGAATGTACAACAATGCATACAACCATATGACCTGTCTTTGTAATACTCACTTGTGCTTTATAGTAATCTGTATACATTAAAGTTTTATCACTGATGTCATCATTGCTTAGTTCATCTTAAGTTAATTTTAAGCCAGCCCGTAATGCTATGCATAGTATAAGTGGCTTTGGCATGCTGCTCTTATCTGTATTTTTTGTACCTCTGTATGTGTGCTCAAATTTTTAAATAAATAAATAATAAATAAATAAATAAATTTTGTCCCAGGATGTGACCCACACCAGCCACACCCAGGTAGCCACTTTACTGATGGGTTAACATGGACAACTGGTGTAAGGAAACACGCCCAATGTTTCTACCCTTATTGGGAATCGAACCCAGACCCGTGTGAAGCAAGAGCTTTGGCCACCAGGCCACGCGTCAGAAGTAATGACATCACTATATTTTGGTACATTTCCCTTTTTAGCATAAAATCCTAACCTACTTTCTTTCCATACACATACCAACACTCCACTCACCTTTTTTTCCTCTTTGTCTATTCAGTGATTTGTTTATTCTTTCACACATCCATCTGCCAACACTTCCAAACCCAAATATCTAAACACACTCATTTCACTTGCCTTGACTCTTACCTACTCTCATCACCTTGCTGCTTTCTATGATCACTATGGTCATCTCATATTAGAACAAAGAAAAGCATCATGAAAAATGTCTAGTATTAATTTTTTTACTGTTATGAGGTTGCTTTGGAATGTGTCACTTCCTGAGTTCTGTCTTAAGTGTATTTTCATGACAAATGTATGAGGTTCTCTGAATCTTTTGAGAGCTGTATACATTATACAGGAACATATGAAGTATGTTGTACAAATCCTCCTAATGTACTGTATGTATATACTAATGAGACCCTAGAATATATTGTCTATCCTGACTCAAAATATACTCTGTAAAAACACCAGTATAAGCAGCAGCCTTTATGAGTCACTCTCTGGCTGAGAGATCTGCATATACTGTGCTTTACTCTTTTTCAAAATGCCAAAGAATAAACCTGAGGTATCCTTATTATCGATAACCAATTTGCTGCATTTATCAAGATTTGTTGTTTATATGCTATGATGCAAAACCGACATGTATAAACAACTGTCAGTACTGTGTAAAGAACCAAAACATCTTATATAACTAAAAGTTTGAAAAATGACTGACAACTGTGAATATTGTACTGCATTAATAACAAATTAAAATACATATTAAATTATTTTTAATGTGCTCTTACATTTAACTAGGAAAGAATGTACTGTAGCTCTAATATGTATCTGTATACTCAAACATTGATAGTCACTTGTACAAAAGAAATAATTTAATAGAACAAATGTTCTTACCTATAAATCCAAGCTGGCAAAAATCCAAGACAAACCAATTTTTCTTCTCTGAAGTTTTCTGCAATGCAAATTTCTTCATAGTAGCAATATATCCTTTCTTTGTTTGTATATCATCTTCTAGCTGCACATAGAAAGTCCCCTTAGGCTGAGCATACATCATAAGAAAAGCAAAGTCAAGGTTTTGCTTAGTTCTCCACCTGTATTTGTACAAAGTTATTATTAGTAACATTGAAGAAAAAAGTAAATATTTACACTGTATAGACAATTTTTTTTACTACATCAACTATTTCTCCACTAAAGTAGGGTGACCCAAAACTGTCCTGCCAAGTGTGCAGATATCATAATTCCAATGGTCCTTTCACCCCTGAAGTGAGGCACCTTGATGCCAGTGATGACTCTTAATCCAAGAAACTGAAAATATTCTCCCCATCCTTAGACTGAGCCTGAATACCATTCCTTAGGGGCTGTATGACCCCTACAGGTTTAGTTCCCCCCTTGATTAAAATAAATAAATAAATGGTCCTCTGAAATGAAACATCCCCATGCATTCTTCAAAATGCAGGCACTGTACTCCTAACTTGAGAATGCCTCTGCTTATGTTCTTTTGTATGTATTGTGCAGTGTTTTCTAAAAAGTGGACTGCGGTCCACAAGGGGGAGTGAGAAGGTTAACCTTAAACAACTGGCGGGTTATCTGGCAAATTGGATGAGAAACACTGGTGTACATAACAAGGCAAGTTAGCCTCAGATGAACAAGAAAACTGTTTTGCAAATTTTGATTTAAAATTATGATAATTTGCAGATTTCTACACAAAATACCAATTCCATTAATTATATGTGTATGTGTAAAGGAAGAAAATGTGCGAGTGATGGTGAAAGTGATGAATGATGGTGAAAGTTTTTCTTTTTTTCTGGGTCACCCTGAGTTGGTGGGAGACAGCTGATGTGTTAAAAAAAAAAAAACGTTGTTGCTAACATTTTAATTATATCACAAAACACCTGGTAGAAATGAGAGGAAGCCATTTCTTTCTCCTATGGTTGTATTTCTAGACTGACACTCCTCTATATGATCACCCATATTATCTTCATATTACCCTTTCAGTATTTATTTTTCCATTCTTTATCCATCTTTCACTTTATTTATGCCTGTTTGCCTTTCCCAACATCTTTCCTTATACAGTGGGGCACTTGAATTATGATGTTCCACACTTATGACACTGGAATTTTAGAATCAATTATTTATGAAGAATGATCTGCAATTATGATCACTGCAAATATTCCAACACAATATTATTTAGAGTTCTACTGGCTAGGTTGTAACATTAACACCAACAATCATTTAAATTTGGGATGCCAGGGATAAATGAAAATAGGGAGCCTTTAATTGAGCTATGAGTAGAAAGAGGTTTGGTAATAAGTAATACAGTGGACCCCCGCATAACGATTACCTCCGAATGTGACCAATAATGTAAGTATATTTATGTAAGTGCGTTTGTACGTGTATGTTTGGGGGTCTGAAATGGACTAATCTACTTCACAATATTTCTTATGGGAACAAATTCGGTCAGTACTGGCACCTGAACATACTTCTGGAGTGAAAAAATATCGTTAACCGGGGGTCCACTGTACATATTTTATGAAAAAGAGAATAAATAAGTATACAAGGTATGATATAGCACGTAATGAAAGTAGTTTCCTAGATTATGTATTGGTGGATAAAAGGTTGATGGGTAGGCTTCAGGATGTACATGTTTATAGAGGGGCAACTGATATATTGGATCATTATTTAGTTGTACCTACAGTTAGAGTAAGAGGTAGATGGGACACAAGGAAAATGGCAGCAGCAAGAAAGAGAGAGGTGAAGTTAGGGTGAGATTTAAGCAACTATAGGCAGAAAGGTGGACTAATGCAAGTATGAGTAGTGGAGGGGTTGAAGAGGGTTGGGATAGTTTTAAAAATGCTGTATTAGAATGTGGGACAGAAGTTTATAGCTATAGGAGGGTGGGTGCAAGAGGAAAGAGGAGTGACTGGTTGGATGATGAAGTAAAGGGTGTGATAAAAGAGAAAAAGGTAGCTTTTGAGAGGTTTTTACAAAACAGAAATGTTATAAGAAGAGCAGAGTATATAGAGAGTAAAAGAAGGTGAAGAGAGTGGTGAGAGAGTGCAAAAGGAGAGCAGATGAAAGAGTGGGAGAAGCACTGTCAAGAAATTTTGCTGAAAATAAAGAAAAATTTTGCAGATAAACAAGTTAAGAAAGCCTAGGAAACGAATGGATTTGTCAAGTTAAAAACAGAGTAGGGGAGTTAGTAGATGGGAAACTGGAGGTATTGGGTAGATGGAGGGAATAATTTGAGGAGCTTTTAACCCTTTGACTGTCGCAACCCCAAATCCTGAAGTGTCTCCTGGTGTCGAAAAATTTTTGGAAAAAAAAAAAATTATTTTTCTTATGAAATGATAGAGAATCTCTTCCCAATGGTAATGACACCAAAAGCACAAAATTTGATCAAAAACTTACAGAATTATGCTCCATGAAGTTAGCGATAGTATATACGCATTGGCGATTTCGCTCATTTTGAGCCCTATTTTCAGCCAATTCCATTGTTCCAGTCAAGCAAACTCATAGCTATTTCTTTAGAATTCCTTTTCTCTATCAACTGAGTACAAGAAACTGCCCATTTACCAATTTCAACTACCCAATAAAGTGGTCAGAAATTGGCAATTTGGCCATTTTCACGCAAATTAAAAAAGATGCCAATTTCCCGCAAATTAAAAAAGATACCAATTTCAAAATAGGTTCAAGAATAAACAATGCAGACATTCTTGGCACTAAAATAACATATCCTCTGTTCATTAGTCACGTCTCCAGGCCCCTCTTATATTACTCTTGCTTTCTATATTGATTTTTTAATCACACAAAAAATAGAAGATTTACTGTTATGCAGACTACTGCATTATTGTAAAAATGATATAAATAATATCAGTGCACTAGTGAAAGAACATAAGACTCCCTAGTTGATGTGTATTGGACGTGTGGTGTGATTTGCTTACTCTTGAACATTGGTAAAAATCGAACATTTCCACTAATTTGAGCTCAATTTTAAGGCCATTTTCATCGTGAAACTAATCAAAATTATCTCTGTTTCTGTAATACGTTTTCCATTCTATCAAATGAGACCAAGAAAACGAGAATACAACCATAAATACTATAGGAAAACACACCTTAAAGTCAGCGTTTTAATCAAAAAACACAGTCAGAGTTTTTTCTCTCATTATGCACTGTGTGCTGCAGGATTTGTTTTATACAGTGCACACTGACCACACAGATCCATTCTCTCACATGTGGGCCTACCAGCTTTCTCCTGGTTGATTTGAAGCCGCTAGAATTATTGAGTATACATATATACGTCCTAAGCACCGACTCCTAAGATGTATATATACGACCGAAACAGTCAAAGGATTAAATGTCAATGAAGAAAGGGAGGCGGTAATTTCATGCACTGGTCAGGGAGGTATAACATCTTTTAGGAGTGAAGTACAGCAGGATGTGAGTGTGGGGGAGGTGTGCAAGGCATTACTTAGAATGAAAAGGGGTAAAGCAGCTGGAACTGATGGCATTATGACAGAAATGTTAAAAGCAGGGATGGATAGTGTGATGGAGTGGTTGGTATTTTTGTTTAATAAATGTATGAAAGAGGGGAAGGTACCTAGGGAGTGGCAGAGAGCATGTATAGCTCCTTTATATAAAGGGAAGGGGGACAAGAGAGATTGTAAAAATTATAGGGGAATAAGTTTACTGAGAGGGAGACTACTTCAAGGTAAAAGTAGGTCTTAGACAGGGATGTGTAATGTCACCATGGTTGTTTAATATATTTATAGATGGGGTCGTAAAAGAAGTAAATGCTAGGGTGTTCAGGAGAGGGGTGGGATTAAATTATGGGGGATTAAATACAAAATGGGAGTTGACACAGTTACTTTTTGCTGATAATACTGTGCTTATGGGAGAGTCTAAATAAAAACTGCAAAGGTTAGTGGACAAGTTTGGGAGTGTGAGTAAAGGTAGAAAGTTGAAAGTGAACATAGAAAAGAGTAAGGTGATGAGGGTATCAAATGATTTAGATAAAGAAAAATTGGACATCAAATTGGGGAGGAGTATGGAAGAAGTGAATGTTTTCAGATATTTGGGAGTTGACTTGTCAGCAGATGGGTTTATGAAGGATGAGGTTAACCACCTAGGTAGTAGGTTGGTAAACAGCAACCGCCTAGGGAGGTACTACCGTCCTGCCAAGCGAGTGTACAACGAAAACCTGTAATTGTTTTACATGGTGGTAGGATTGCTGGTGTCTTTTGTTTGTCTCATAAACATGCAAGATTTCAGGTATGTCTTGCTACTTCTACTTGCACTTAGGTCACACTACACATACATGTACAGGCATATATTTTTTTTTTTTTTTTTTTTTTTTCAACAAGTCGGCCGTCTCCCACCGAGGCAGGGTGACCCAAAAAAGAAAGAAAATCCCCAAAAAGAAAATACTTTCATCATCATTCAACACTTTCACCACACTCGCACATTATCACTGTTTTTGCAGAGGTGCTCAGAATACAACAGTCTAGAAGCATACACATATAAAGATACACAACATATCCCTCCAAACTGCCAATATCCCAAACCCCTCCTTTAAAGTGCAGGCATTGTACTTCCCATTTCCAGGACTCAAGTCCGACTATATGAAAATAACCGGTTTCCCTGAATCCCTTCACTAAATATTACCCTGCTCACACTCCAACAGATCGTCAGGTCCCAAGTACCATTCGTCTCCATTCACTCCTATCTAACACGCTCACGCACGCTTGCTGGCATATATATATATATATATATATATATATATATATATACACCCCTCTGGGTATTCTTCTATTTTCTTTCTAGTTCTTGTTCTTGTTTATTTCCTCTCATCTCCATGGGGAAGTGAAACAGAATTCTTCCTCCGTAAGCCATGCGTGTTGTAAGTGGCGACTAAAATGCCGGGAGCAAGGGGCTAGTAACCCCTTCTCCCGTATCAATTACTAAATTTAAAAGAGAAACTTTCGTTTTTCTTTTTGGGCCACCCTGCCTTGGTGGGATACGGCCGGTGTGTTGAAAGAAAGAAAAGAGGTTAACCATAGAATTGATGAAGGAAAAGAGGCGAGTGGTGCGCTGAGGTATCTGTAGAGACAAGAAACGTTATCTATGGAGGCAAAGAAGGCAATGTATGAGAGTATAGTGGTACCAACACTCTTATATGGGTGTGAAGCTTGGGTTGTAAATGCTGCAGAGAGGAGGTGGTTGGAGGCAGTGGAGATGTCCTGTCTAAAGGCAATGTGTGGTGTAAATATTATGCAGAGAATTCGGAGTGTGGAAATTAGGAGGTGGTGTGGAGTTACTAAAAGTATTAGTCAGAGGGCTGAAGAGGGGCTGGTGAGGTGGTTTGGTCATTTAGAGAGAATGGATCAAAGTAGAATGACTTGGAGAGCATATAAATCTGTAAGGAAAGGAAGGAGGGGTAGAGGTTGTCCTCGAAAAGGTTGAAGGGAGGGGGTAAAGGAGGTTTTGTGGGCGAGGGGATTGGACTTCCAGCAAGCGTGTGCGAGCATGTTAGACAGGAGTGAATGGAGACGAATGGTTTTTGGGACCTGATGAGCTGCTGGAGTGTGAGCAGGGTAATATTTAGTGAAGGGATTTAGGGAAACTGGTTAGCTGGACTCGAGTCCTGGAAATGGGAAATACAATGCCTGCACTTTAAAGGAGGGGTTTGGAATACTGACAGATTAGAGGGACTTCTAAACTGTCGTATCTGAGCGCCTCTGCAGAGACAGTGATATGTATGACTGATGGTGAAAATGTTGAATAATGATGAAAGTTTTTTCTTTCTTTATGGGTCACCCTGCCACGGTGGGGAAACAGCCGATGTGTTAAAAAAAATGTTATAAAAAATAAATTATTCTGTTTTTAATAAAAGCATTTGAATATGTTTATTTTATGTATAAATGACGTACAGTGGAACCTCAAATATCGAACTTTCTTCGGTCCAGAAGGCTGTTCGAGTGCCTTTACCGAATGAATTTATTCCCATCAGGAATAATGTAAATTAGATTAGTCCATTTCAGACCCTCAAAAATACAGTGGACCCCCGGTTAACGAACTTTTTTCATTCCAGTAGTATGTTCAGGTGCCAGTACCGACCGAATTTTTTCCCATAAGGAATATTGTGAAGTAGATTAGTCCATTTCAGACCCCCAAACATACACGTACAAACGCACTTACATAAACACACTTACATAATTGGTCGCATTTGGAGGTGATCGTTAAGCGGGGGTCCACTGTACACTTATAAAAGCACTTACAAAAATACACTTACATAATTGGTCGTGTTGGGAGCAGTTTGATTTTTGAGGTTCCACTGTACTCACATTTGTTTCGTGAAGACTGGTCAGGAATTATAAACTTAATATTTTCAATTTTCTTAAGGTTCAATTGTAAATATTTCTTCCTAGGTTAGTTTTTTAGTAAATGTATTGGTATTCTGTGATATGTGCCTTTTTTGTATGTGTGGAGAAATTAAATTTTTGGGGAGCAGCGAACAACTAATAAGTATGGATAAAATAATTATGTTCTGTGGTAGCCACTATTGTTGCTGCCCACATACTGGACATTTCCGTGAGCGAGGCCCAGGACATTGGAAGCTCATACCCCACCCTCACCTCATACAATTATCCTCACCACTAACTTCCCCCACTATATACCCAGACAAATTAACTCTTACCATAAGAATGAAAAAGTGGTGAGCATATCTAAAGAGTATTGTCTCAGATATAAGAGAGAGCAAGAGTGAACTGGAGAATGAGAGAGGGGGGGAAGCAGTCCAGCTGCTGTTTGTCCCTACACAATGCAAGAGAGGGTAAGAGCGAACAGTAGACTAAGAAATTCTCATTCATATTCTAAATGGAAAGGAGGAAGACAGCACACCTGCTAGTTGCCCCTACACATCTATCTGTACTGTGCTGCACTCTATAATGTACCATAGCTCTGTTTTATTTAAGTAACAAGTATATATTAATTAAACAATGTTCAATACTATTTACAAGTGAAAAGGAACAGTACTGAATGTATATTATTGGATGTGATAAATGGTTTTGAAAACCATTCTTAGTTAAAAATTGTGTAATTATATATGGAATATTATGGTTTGGGAACTCTTATGCGATTATAACACATGTAAGAAAAAACAGGTTCAGAGTTCCAAACGCTCAACTTACAAACAATTTCAAGACCACATTAATTTTGTGAGTAGAGGACTGGCTGTGCTTTCTACCATATGCTTGCTTAGTCAACCATTTTTGCAATTCATTTTGTATTTTATATAGTTATGTGGTAATTTCTTCAGTTATCTGACTACTAAATCAGCATGTGGAGACCAAGCATATGTTATCAAGTCACAACTGAAATGTTTTGACCTGATAATGGTCCAGGATAGACTAAAATGTTGTCTTAAGCTTCCTTCCAAAGTGAGAGTTATTGGTGAATTGTTTCAGCCACAATATTGTGAATTATTTTGCAAACATATAAGTGCCTCCTCAAAACACTATTCAAACAAAGGTCATTGAAATGTTTAGGAAAAAATCTACAGGAGACTAACTTATCAGTAACTGATGCATTTATTGTTTTAAAAATACTGTATATCTCTTAAATAATGCCCATTTTCAGTTCAATTTTTTGCACATGTAGTTTGTATTTTATGTATACTGTAACACATTTATAATACAGCCTCTCCTCACTTAGTGATGTACTTGTTTACCTACAACTCAAGACTTACGATGGGCTCTCTGACCAGCATGCATACCTAAATAATGTACATAAGAACTGATTTCCTCTATCCTGTTTATTAAAATATACAGTACACTACTGTATAAACATTTAAAAATATACCAGAAATGTTATAAATGGTGCAAAGGAGACATTAAAACAATATCAAAGATGGTTGACACAAACCCACTACCATTATAGTATGCTCCTCACTCAGCAACGAATTCATTTACTGATGTGGTCTCGGCAACGGAACTCTGTCGTTAAGTGAGGAGAGGCTGTATTTTGTTAGAATTGGGCCAAAGTCTATATCAAAGTAGGATAAAATAGTGCAAAAAAAAAAAAAAATAATTTTCAATTCTCATTAGAGTATGCTAATATACAAGGTTCTTGTAAAACAGTAAATTTTTCATTTTAAAATCTAATTTTCTTCGATTAACAGTATCAAATAGAATACAGTGGACCCCCGCTTAACGATCACCTCCAAATGCGACCAATTATGTAAGTGTATTTATGTAAGTGCGTTTGTACGTGTATGTTTGGGGGTCTGAAATGGACTAATCTACTTCACAATATTCCTTATGGGAAAAAATTCGGTCAGTACTGGCACCTGAACATACTACTGGAATGAAAAAAGTTCGTTAACCGGGGGTCCACTGTATAAAGATAATGAAAAAAAATTTGGTATTCTTAATTAATACAAAAAAGTTTAATGCAATGGATTCAACCAGAGGTTGAAAACCAAAACAAAATGAATACTGCAATTTATAAGTTTTTTATAATTCTGATGAAGTAAAATCTAAAAAAAGCCAACACTGTATGTCAGCACTTTTTAGCTCAGGATATCCTGAAACTCAGTAACATTATTATCTTTTAACTAAAATTATTTAATCATGTTAATGTAATACCAACTAGAGGTATCTAATAATATAGAGCTATGGGTAACTAAGTACATCTCTGCCACCATTTTGATCCTAATTCTGTACTACACAATAACCATCAACACAAAATTAACAATGTCTATAAGGGTGCCACTAAATACCGGACTCTTTCCATAGGGTCGCCGAGAGTTTGCCGCAACTTGTCCATATCAGGATAGAAGGACTGTGGAGGAGAGATGACTTCAAGGAGTCCACTATCAAGATGTTCTGGAAACCTGTCAATTAGTAAAGTTGCATTACACCAAGGGAAGAACCTGGAGTAATCAGACAAAACATTTCCAATAAATTGTGCAACAAATTTGTGAGCAGAATATGGAAGCACATCTGTCCAGTGATTAGCAGATTGAGGAGCAAGCCTCTACATGTCCTTGTGCTGAATGACCCCACAAGGATTTAAGGCTTCATATAAATAAAAATCGAAGGTTTTTTAAAATATTTTTTTAAATTAAATATTAATTTCTTTATTATATTATTATAAAGAAATCACTGTGGTATAGTAAAACTTCAACTTAACAAACTAATAGAGAGATGAAGATTGCTGGTAATGTTGACTGGGGTGGACAGATAGCTTTTTTTTCCCAGAGCTGTAACAATAAACTACAATTCTGAAAAACAATGAACTTTGTCTGTAGTTTCCAAATCAACTGACCCAGTGAATTTTGTATCATATCTCAAAAGCCCATAAAATTAATGTCCTTTAATAGGGAGTTTACTTACATCTGTAATTCTAAAGAAAAATACTGTACAATGCTGTATAACTTTTTATTTAACCCTTTGACTGTCGCGGCCGTATATATACGTCTTACGAGGTACCGTGTTTGACGTATATATACTCATAAATTCTAGCGGCTTCAAATCAAGCAGGAGAAAGCTGGTAGGCCCACATGAGAGAGAATGGGTCTGTGTGGTCAGTGTGCACCATATAATAAAATCCTGCAGCACGCAGTGCATAATGAGAAAAAAAAAAACTCCGACCGTTTTTTTAATTAAAATGCCAACTTTGTGGTCTATTTTCGTATAGTATTTATGGTTGTATTCTCATTTTCTTGGTCTCATTTGATAGAATGGATAACATATTATAGAAATAGAGGTGATTTTGATTGATTTTACTATAAAAAGAACCTAGAAATGGAGCTCAAAGTAAGGGAAATGTTTAATTTTTGCCAATGTTCAAAAGTAAACAAATGATGCCATTGTCCAATAAATGTCCAACTAGCCATTCTAATATGCAGTCATAAATGGGCTGATGTTATTTATACAATTATTACAGTATTGCAGTAGTCTGCATAATAGTAAGTCTTCTATTTTTTGTTTGAATAAAAATTCAAAATAGAAAGCAAGAGTAATACCAGAGGGGCCTGGAGACATGACTGATGAGCAAAAAAAATGTTATTTTAGAGCCAAGAATGTCTGCATTGTTCATTCTGGACCTTATTTTGAAATTGTCATATTTTTTAGTTTTCGTGAAATTGGCCAAATTGCAAATTTCTGACCACATTATTAGGTAGTTGAAATCGGTAAATGGGCAGTTTCTTGTATTCAATCGATAGAAAAAATGGAGTTCTAAAGAAATAGCTATGAGTTTGGGCGACTGGAACAATGGAATTAGCCGAAAATAGGGCTCAAAGTGGGCGAAATCGCCGATTTGTAAACAGCGCCGAGGTCACTAACTTCGCGAGAGCATAATTCCGTCAGTTTTCTATCAAATTTCGTTTTTTTGGTGTCATTACAATCGGGAAAAGATTCTCTATCATTTCATAGGAAAAAATAATTTTTTTTTTTAAATTTTGCGACACCAGGAGACACCTCAGGATTGGGGGTTGCGACAGTCAAAGGGTTAATTAACTAAAACTTTTATAAATTCAGTAATAGTAGTAATAATGGTTTCATAAAAGTCTTCAATAGTGTGTTTTTCATACCAAAATGTATAGTTATGAAGATGCAGCCTCCAGAAAATAATAAACGAAAAATTGTAAAAGAAACTGTAAACTCCCTTAATAACTTTCTTTCAAAGTCATATTTCTTATAAAAACCAAACCAAACAAATTATTTCTTTGCAAAGGGAACAATGTGTGATTCCATTTTATAACTTGTTAGGTACAAAGAAACCCACTATCGTGCCGGGGCACTTCGAGCAGAATAATCTTAATACTTAACCCCTTGACTGTCGCAACCCCAAATCCTGAGGTGTCTCCTGGTGTCGCAAAATCCCCCCCCTCCCCCCCCCTCCCCCCCCCCCAAAAAAAAAAAAAAATCTTATGAAATGACAGAGAATCTTTTCCAGATTGTAATGACACCAAAAAAAAAAAAATTTATGGAAAACTGACGGAATTACGCTCTCGCGAAGTTAGCGACCTCGGCGATATTTACGAATTGGCAATCTCGCCCATTTTGAGCCCAATTTTCGGCTAATTCCATGGTTCCAGTCGACCAAACCCATAGCTATTTCTTTAGAACTCCATTTTTTCTATCGATTGAGTACAAGAACCTGCCCATTTACCAATTTCAATTACCTAACAACATAGTCAGAAATTTGCAATTTGGCCAATTTCACGAAAATTAAAAAATATGACAATTTCAAAATAGGGTCCAGAATGAACAATGCAGACATTCCTGGCTCTAAAATAACACTTTCTTTGTTCATCAGTCACATCTCCAGGCCCCTCTGATTTTACTCTTGCTTTCTATTTTGAATTTTTATTCAAACAAAAAATAGAAGATTTACTGTTATGCAGACTACTACAATACTGTAATAATTGTATAAATAATGTCAACCCATTCATGACTGCATATTAGAATGGCTACTTGGACATTTATTGGAAAATTACATCATTTGATTACTTTTGAACATTGGCAAAAATTAAACATTTCCCCTACTTTGAGCTCCATTTCAAGGTTCTTTCCTTAGTAAAACCAATCAAAATCACCTCTATTTCTATAATGTGTTTTAACATCAGAACATAAGAAAGGAGGAACGCTGCAGGAGGCCTGCTGGCCCATACTATGCAGGTCCTTTACAATTCATCCCACTAACAAAACATTTGCCCAACCCAATTTTCAATGCCACCCAAGAAATAAGCTCTGATGTGAAAGTCCCACTCAAATCCAACCCCTCCCACTCATGTACTTATCCAACCTAGATTTGAAACTACCCAAAGTCCCAGCCTCAATAACCCAACTAGGTAGACTGTTCCACTCATCAACTACCCTATTTCCAAACCAATACTTTCCTATGTCCTTTCTAAATCTAAACTTATCTAATTTAAATCCATTACTGTGGGTTCTCTCTTGGAGAGACATCCTCAAGACCTTATTAATATCCCCTTTATTAATACCTATCTTCCACTTATACACTTCGATCAGGTCTCCCCTCATTCTTCGTCCTAACAAGTGAATGTAACTTAAGAGTCTTCAATCTTTCTTCATAAGGAAGATTTCTAATGCTATGTATTAATTTAGTCATCCTACGCTGAATGTTTTCTAACGAATTTATGTCCATTTTGTAATACGGAGACCAGAACTGAGCTGCATAATCTAGGTGAGGCCTTACTAATGATGTATAAAGCTGCAGTATGACCTCTGGACTTCTGTTGCTTACACTTCTTGATATAAATCCCAGTAATCTATTTGCCTTATTACGTACGCTTAGGCATTGCTGTCTTGGTTTAAGGTTGCTGCTCACCATAACCCCCAAGTCCTTTTTGCAATCTGTATGCCTAAGTTCTACATCATTTAACTTATAAGTACTAGGGTTATGGGCACTCCCAAGCTTCAGAACCTTGCATTTACAGTGGACCCCCGGTTAACGATATTTTTTCACTCCAGAAGTATGTTCAGGTGCCAGTACTGACCGAATTTGTTCCCATAAGGAATATTGTGAAGTAGATTAGTCCATTTCAGACCCCCAAACATACACGTACAAATGCACTTACATAAATACACTTACATAATTGGTTGCATTCGGAGGTGATCGTTATGCGGGGGTCCACTGTATCTACATTGAACTGCATCTGCCACTTTTCTGACCAAGAATAGAGTTTGTTTAAATCCTCCTGAAGTTCCATAACATCTACGTTTGAATCAATTATCCTACCTATCTTTGTGTCATCGGCGAATTTGCTCATATCACTAGTAATTCCCTCATCAAGATCATTGATATATATTATAAACAACAACGGGCCCAAGACTGATCCCTGTGGAATGCCACTTGTTACAGATCCCCACTCGGATTTAACCCCATTTATGGACACTCTCTGCTTCCTGTCAGTGAGCCATGACTCGATCCACGAGAGCACTTTTCCCCCAATGCCATGAGCTGCCACTTTCTTTAACAGTCTATGGTGCGGAACTCTATCAAAAGCCTTACTAAAATCTAAGTAAATAATATCAAATTTTTTATTGTGGTCAACAGCCTCAAAAACTTTACTGAAGAAAGTTAATAAATTAGTTAGACAAGACCGGCCTCTTGTGAATCCATGCTGAGTATCATTAATCAAGCTATGCTTATTGAGATAGCTTCTTATAATCTCAGCTATAATTGACTAGTAATTTGCCTAAAATTGACGTCAGGCTTATTGGGCGGTAATTTGACGGTAACGACTTGTCCCCAGTTTTAAAAATAGGAATTACATTAGCCATCTTCCACATATCAGACACTACACCTGTTTGAAGAGATAAATTAAAAATATTAGTTAATGGTTCACAGAGTTCCATTTTGCATTCCTTAAGAACCCTTGAAAAAACCTCATCAGGATCCGGCGACTTATTTTGCTTCAGTCTGTCTATCTGCTTCACAACCATCTCACTAGTGACTGTGATGTTACATAATTTATCTTCTTCTAGCCCACTGTAAAAATTAATTACTGGAATATTGTTAGTGTCTTCCTGTGTAAAAACAGAGAAAATAATTATTTAAAATCAAGCACATTTCATTCTCTTTGTCAGTAAGGTGCCCATAGTTATTTTTAAGGGGACCTATCTTATCTCTAACTTTTGATCTATAGACCTGGAAAAAACTTTTTGGGTTAGTTTTAGAATCCCTAGCAACTTTAATTTCATAGTCCCTTTTAGCTTTTCTTATCCCCTTTTTAATGTCCCTCTTAATGTCAATATACTGATTCATAAGATGACCCTCACCTCTTTTGATACGCCTATAAATTCCTTTCTTATGCCCTAGTAGATATTTGAGCCTATTATTCATCCATTTTGGGTCATTTCTATTTGATCTAATTTCTTTATATGGGATAAACGCTCTTTGAGCAGCATGTAAAGTGTTCAGGAAACTGTCATATTGATAGCTCTCTTCGTTACCCCAGTCAACAGATGATAAGTGTTCTCTAAGCCCATCGTAATCTGCTAAGCGAAAATCTGGGACTGTTACTGAGTTATCGCTACAATCATATTTCCATTCAATGCTAAATGTAATTGATTTGTGGTCGCTAGCACCCAGTTCCTCTGAAATTTCTAAATTATTAACAAGGGATTCATTGTTTGCCATAACTAAGTCAAGCAGGTTATTTCCCCTTGTAGGTTCTGTCACAAACTGCTTCAAAAAACAATCCTGAAATACTTCTAAGAAGTCGTATGATTCTAAATTCCCAGTCAAGAAATTCCAATCAACATGACTAAAGTTAAAGTCTCCTAGAATTACTACATTATCGTGCCTTGTGGCCTTAACAATTTCCTCCCATAGTAGTTTCCCTTGGTCCCTATCTAAGTTTGGGGGACGGTATATCACTCCTAAAATCAGTTTTTCATGCCCCTCTGAAAATTCTATCCAAACAGACTCTGTATGTGTTACTTCAGACTTAATACCCGTTTTTATGCAACAGTTCAAGCGATCTCGGACATACAGTGCCACCCCCCCCCCCATCCCAATACTATCTTCTTGGAACAATTTAAAACCCTGAATATGACATTCCGCAGGCATGTCCCGACTTTTTTGAATTAAACCACGTCTCAGTTAAGGCAAATACATCAATGTTACCTGCACTAGCAACTAATCTCAACTCGTCCATCTTATTCCTAGCACTACGGCAATTAGCATAATAAACATTGAAAGACTCTCCTTTCTCTTTACCCTTCCTGCTCATTTCTATTTTTCTACTAAACCTATTACTGTCCTTATCACCCAAGGTCCCTGGCTTTTCAATATCTACCTCATTCTTATTATTACTAGTTCCCCTAGAACTCGTAATATTACTACACTGGGACTTCACTGTTTTCCTGCCAAAACCCATACCACTAACTACTCCTAGTTTAAAGTCCTAACTGCTCCCTCCACTGCAGTTGCCAGTGCTCCCACCCCACACCTAGATAAGTGAACCCCATCCCTGGCATACATGTCATTTCTGCCATGGAAGAGGTCCCAGTTGTCATTGAATGTTACCACATTTTCCTTACAGTATTTGTCCAGCCAGCAATTGACACCAATTGCCCTGGACAACCATTCATTTCCAACTCCCCTCCTTGGCAAAATACCACATAGAGGGTTCCCACCCTTACTCCTAATTATTTCTATTGCTGACCTATACCTGCTAATCAGGTCTTCACTCCTACGTCTGCCAACATCGTTGCCTCCAGCACTGAGACAGATAATAGGATTACTCCCATTACCTCTCATGATGTCATCCAGATGGCTAACAATATCCTTCATCCCAGCCCCAGGAAAGCAAACTCTCTGTCTCCTACTCCTGTCCTTCAAGCAGAACGCCCTATCCATATACCTAACTTGGCTATCCCCAACAACAACAATATTCGTACCTTCCTTGGTGTCATTCGTCGTGACGTTCCCAGTAGTCGACTCACATTCGTCGGGTAGCACTGAGAATGTATTAGATGTTTCCACAACAGTTTCCACGGCAGTCTCTTTCTTCTTCATCGTTTCTACCTTTCCATTTGTCTTCTTGATCGTCAACTTCTTTCCCTGCTGTCCAGCCACTGACCAGTTTCCCTTCTTGACCTGAGGACTCAAAACAGGAGGACTACTACGAATCTTTTTGTTTTCCTCGGTCAGTCGCCGAATTTCCATATTCGCCATCCTCAATTCTTCCTTAAGCTGTTGGTAAAGTTGCTCGATGGAGGGCATCTTGCTTCAATTCTAGAGAGCGCGCAAACAGGTCTTCACAGAGCCAAGTACACGTCAACACTGCGCAAAAGCCAACTCAATCAGGAGCTACTGCGCAGCACGTCCGCACGGCCCAACAGCGATGTACGAAGGTACGAAGGCCCCCTGGAAATAGTGAAAAAGCGTGATGTAAATTATTTAGTGGTATAAACCTTGGTAATAAATACCGACAAGTTGGTTGTAATGATACTGGTCCTGTGGGGAGCAGCAGCAGGATAGTACTGCACCACCTCTTGGGGCCCTTAACAACAACAACAGTTTGGTGTGTGTCATGGGCGCCAACACATGGTGTGTGATTCTCTCCTCCTCTATTTATATATACATTAGTCATGCAGATTACATGGTGAGTTTAAATATGTGGCCTGTAGTTATAACTTTTCTCTTGACATATGCAAGACATCACCATCCCTGTAGAAGCCATTATTAGATGTACTAGTCATTATATTTTGTTGTTGCAGAAGTACTATGAAGATTCTATGTTCAATAAAGCCTAGAGATAAGGCCTGTGTTTCTATCACAACATTGGTTTAGAAAGACACGTAAGCAAACACTATAACATATTTATTAGAAAACGTTTCGGTCCTGGGACCTTGATCACTTCTAATCCATGAGACCAAGAAATCGTGAATACAACCATAAATACTATACAAAAATAGACCACAAAATTGGCATTTTAATTAATAAAAGATCGGAGTTTTTTTTCTCATTATGCACTGCGTGCTGCAGGATTTTTTTTATATGGTGCACACTGACCACACAGACCCATTCTCTCACATGTGGGCCTAACAGGTTTCTCCTGCTTGATTTGAAGCCGCTAGAATTTATGAGTATATATACGTCAAACACGGTGGCTCGTAAGACGTATATATACGACCAAAACAGTAAGAGGGTTAAAGACTATGAAGCAGTTTCTATTTTCTCTATAGTATTTTGTCTTTCATTTTTGTATAAACTTGCAAAGTTGAAGTTACTTTTAACTAAACTTGAGGAATCATTTATGAAATTATGGGGAGCACCATACAGTAATGATAAATACAGTAAATATACTTAGTGATGGGATTCAGGGAAACCGGTTATTTTATATAGCTGGACTCGAGTACTGGAAATGGGAAGTACAATGCCTGCACTTTAAAGGAGGAGTTTGGGATATTGGCAGTTTGGAGGGATATGTTGTGTATCCTTATACATATATGCTTCTAAACTGTTGTGTTCTGGGCACCTCTGCAAAAACAGTGATTATGTATGAGTGAGGTGAAAGTGTTGAATGATGATGAAAGTATTTTCTTTTTGGGGATTTTTTCTTTCTATTTGGGTCACCCTACCTCGGTGGGAAACGGCCAACTTGTAAAAAAAAAAAAAAAAAAAAAAAATTAATAGGGAGATCTCTTAACTAACTGCAAATATCCAATATGTATAAACTAAGAAGAAATTTTGCAGTTAACATAAGCATCTTAGAACAACCCATGAAGATATACTTTAAATGTACCATGCAGCACTTACTTTCTCTCAATCTGTGAGGCAACTTGGCGGACATAGTCCAAATCCCACTAGAAATGAATACAGTGAACATTATTAGTACTGTCTGCCTATGTATTGATATACAGTATACTAAATGGCTAAAAAAATAATAGCAAAGATTAATTTAAATAAACACTACATACTGGTCAAATTATATGAATATAAAATCAACAGCTGAATTTAATGTTATTAATGACAGTAATAAATCTATTACAGAACAGGTTTATTTTTAACAATTAAAATAATGCACTTCACATTATTCTGTCAAAGTTAGGATATACTATTTGCTTTATTAGCTTTAGTAAAATTCCTGATTAATGAAGACATTTCAGTACAAGTTCATGAGACTATTGATAATCTTCAGTTTATAAAATAACATTTTCTAATAAATGGTCAGTTGTTGTATATGGCTACTGCTGAAAAAAAGTTACAGCTGAATATGGCTAAAGTTAGTTATCATAATTTTCACTACTTAAAGCAACTGTATTATACAGAATTTACAAGAAAAATTCTGACAAAATTTTATGTTATATAGTACTGTTCTTTATTGTATCTAATCTTATGATGATTTATATTTCAAAGTAAATGTAATACATTTAAATAAAAACTTGAAATAAATAAGGACTTGCTTCAGCAACAAAGACGACAATAATGCATTCATCCATCTCTTCGATGGACATGGAGTCAATGAGGTTCCTGAGTGTTGTCATGAGGTAGCTCTGCACTTGTCGCTTTACTGTGGGCACTCCTAGCACCATTGTTGCTGTGCAAAACAAACATACAAATGCCACTGTTAAAAACTAAAGAAAGCAAGCTGAATCTGCAAAATCCTCACTGATGTTACAAGCACTATGCTTTTATATTCCATCAATACAAAATTTAATTTGAATCATACATATAGCACACTAAACTGGATATTACATGCCACAGAGTGCTATTTACTATAATATGAAAAGTCTCAACACATATCTTGGTACATTTAGGAGAGGCATTTTTAATAAGTGTTAGGGGCCTAAGAATGTTCAACTGGCTGTCTTCAAGAAGGCAATGGACAGACACCTAAAGTCAGTTCCCAACTAACCAAGCTGTGGTTCATACGTCGGTTTGCATGCAGCCAGCAGTAAAAGCCTGGTTGATCAGGTCATGATCCACTGCAAAGTCTGGTCCCAGACTGGGTTGTGGGGGCACTGACCCCTGAAACTCCCTCCAGGTATACCCTGTTTCATTTTTTGTCAGGCTTTGAATATCCTATGGAGAATCTAGACATAAGTGACATCTCACATACTATAAAAAGAACTGATATAGCCCTACTCTAGTTGAGTGCCAAGAGTAACTATTTCTAAACACACAATCACAATATTTACACAACCCAGCAGAACATAGGTTAAAAGTAGGTCACTTCTGTTTTGCTCAACTACTTGACCATTTGATAACACAAAGCTAGGTTCACATATACTAGGAGCTTTCATAGTTGATGAAATATCCTAAATCAAGTCAATATAACCTGTTACTTTTGCAACTTTATATTGATTATTATAGTACATGCAATATATGCCGAGGATAAATCTTGGACTTTCAGTGTGTGAAATGAGGATGCTACCGACCAACCATCAAAGGTGTTCCATAGCTCGATCACTAGTGCACTCAGCTCACACACTGAGGTTTTGAGTTCAAATCTCCAGTATGGCTGGAAAACATCAGGGATGTGTTTCCATAAGACACCAGTTGTCCCTGTTCACCCATCAGTATAAAATGGGTACCTAGGTGTTAGTCAACTGGTGTGGGTCGCATCCTGGGACAAAACTGACCTAATTTGCCTGAAATGTTCAGCATAACAAGTGGCTTTCTATATAGTAGTATAACATTCATGTCAGCTAGGCCTGTACACCTTGTACATGTACTTGTAGAAATAAAAATATTATTTTTATTATTATTACTATTGTTATTATAAAGAATTTTACTTCTGTATGTAATATTTTCATATATCTTAAAATAAGCTTAAGTTTGCCTGAAATGCTTTACATACTATAGGGGCTTTCTGAATGTGCACCTAAATATCACCCATCTCTATACAAACATTGAATCATAGTGAGATAAATAATCTGAATCCAAGTGTCTCTATCATCCATAAATGCTCTCAACTCCCAGAGGCACAATTATTACATGTTCATGTCAGAAGCTGGACAGGTGTGGTAGACAGAACTGCCTAAAATAGATTCCCTCTCACATTGACCTTCAGATGCAAGATAGGCCTAGTGAAATGACAAAAGCGTATGCCTCTAAGAAGCGTATGATATAGGTGGAGGAGGATAGGAAGAGAGGAAAGGCAGAGACTTACCAGAGTGACGTTCCTTGGAGAGTTTGAAGGCAGGGGTGGTGGCAGCGCGAGAGTGAAGAAGGTGGGGCAGGTAACTGTAGATGGAGGGCAGGTGCATGTCTGATGTGTGGCTCAGGTTGGCCAGTAGATCTCTAGTCTCCTGTGACAGTGATGCCCGGAACTCTGTTAAGTTGCCACTCTCTGAATCTGCAGCCACAAGAGGTCTTCTATTATGGTCTCTTAATTCAGAAAAATTTGCTACAATACTGTAGCTACAATTCTTCAGAAGTAGTCTACAAACTGGAAATAATCACTAGATATTTTGGTATTGCTTTGGTAATAGTTCAGGACTGTGCATTAGTTGTGAAGTCTCGTAAGTTATTATTTTTGTGACCAAATCCATTTTTTCTATAAAAGAGCTCATTATAACTAACTTGCTCAGTTAACAGAATGTTGAGACCCAATCCCTGGACCCACTGTGTACCTCTGTAATCTTAATCTAGGTATGAAGAGCCTACCACCCACAGGATGGGCACAAGATGCATAATAAAACAAACTAATATTGCAGATTATACTTTCAAATGTATGCCTGTGTGTAGTGTATGTTTTGGTTACTTCACCAATTTATTAGAGACTCAACTCTTGGCCCTGCATCCTGTACTACTATTCTTTGTTTGGAATCACTAATTTATAGCCTTTTGAGTCTTATCATATCTGCTCTTGAAGCTGCCTCATCCAAGTCATTCCACTTCTCAAGCACCCTGAGGCTTAAACATTTCCTTACATCCCCGCAGCTCATCTGTGTCTTTAGTTTCTACCAGTGTTTCCTTGATCTTGGTTCTCTTAATTTAAACAATCTGTCCTTATCTGCACTATCAATTCCTATTAGGATTTTTATGTTATATAATGTCTTTCCTTTTCCTTCTTTCTTCTAAGGTGGTAAGGTTCAGGTCCTTTCAACTCTCCTCCTCCAGGTACTAGTCTGATAGCAAACCCAAGGACCTTTTCATGTTTCTTCATGTGCTTGACTAAGTGCTGGTTCCATCCTGGGAACATGTACTCAATGATTAGCCTAACATATGTCATATGTAAAGTCCTATAGAATTCTTTGTTAAAGTTTTTGAATGCTGCTCTCAAGTTTGCTGATCATGGATATGCTGCTAATTTTTATACATTTTATGTGTAATTATAACAATATGCTAGGTGTTATATTTACTCTCAAGTCCTTTTCATGCTTTGATATTTACAGCTTCTCACTGCCCATGCTGTATGTTGTGTCCAGTCTGCCTCACCTCAAATTCACATTACCATGAATTTCTTTGGACTGAAATAAGAAAGTCACCTATTTTTACCCTTATTTAACTGTGACTTACTAACCTGTTGGTTAACCAGGCTGCTACTGTTGGTGGCTCTTGAGCCCACAAACCCATCACAGTTGGGTCAATCTGCCACTATGGAGGTAGTGATCCAGTTTCTTTTTGTACCATATATGCAATCAATTCAGGTCTCCCTACCCTTTATCACAATCCTTTCTCACTCTTATTCTTCTCATCAGTTTTATATCAGCAAACAGTAACAAGATTCAATCCCTTCTGGTAGGTCATTCATGTGTATTAGGAATAGTAGTGGTCCTATTACTGATCCTTGCTCAACTCCCACTCATTACTCTCTTCTCTTCTAATGTTTCATCTCTTATTGTTACTCTCTACCTGGTTATTCAGGTGCCCTTGAGCTATTGGAACACTGCTTTTTAGCTCTCTCTGTTCCTCTAATTTCTGGACTAATCTCTGGTGTGGTACTGTATCAAATACCTTTTTTTTTTAATCCACTTAACCTTGTCTCTCTTGTTTTGTCTCTGACTTTCATGGAATTCAAGCAGATCAGTTATACAGGATTTTCCATCCCTAAATCCATGCTGGTTTTCTGCAAAGAATCTTTCCAAGTGCCCCAATAGCCTTTTCCTTATTATCTTCTCTGGAACTGGACTGTATTTCAGTGCCTCCTCTGTCCTCCTTTTATATATGCAGATTACATTTGACTTTTTCCACTTGTCTGGCAGTTGTCCTAATTGGAGAGACTGATTGAATATCTTTGCTATTGGGCCACAGTCTTTCTACCCATTCTCTCAGCATTCATGGAACATATTATCTGGTTCAATTCCTTTACCTGGAGTTTACCTGGAGAGAGTTCCGGGGGTCAATGCCCCCACGGCCCGGTCTGTGACCAGGCCTCCTGGTGGATCAGAGCCTGATCAACCAGGCTGTTGCTGCTGGCTGCACGCAAACCAACGTACAAGCCACAGCCCGGCTGGTCAGGAACCGACTTTAGGTGCTTGTCCAGTGCCAGCTTGAAGACTGCCAGGGGTCTGTTGGTAATCCCCCTTATGTATGCTGGGAGGCAGTTGAACAGTCTTGGGCCCTGACACTTATTGTATGGTCTCTTAACGTGCTAGTGACACCCCTGCTTTTCATTGGGGGGATGTTGCATCGTCTGCCAAGTCTTTTGCTTTCGTAGTGAGTGATTTTTGTGTGCAAGTTCGGTACTAGTCCCTCTAGGATTTTCCAGGTGTATATAATCATGTATCTCTCCCGCCTGCGTTCCAGGGAATACAGTTTTAGGAACCTCCAGCGCTCCCAGTAATTGAGGTGTTTTATCTCCGTTATGCGCGCCGTGAAGGTTCTCTGTACATTTTCTAGGTCAGCAATTTCACCTGCCTTGAAAGGTGCTGTTAGTGTGCAGCAATATTCCAGCCTAGATAGAACAAGTGACCTGAAGAGTGTCATCATGGGCTTGGCCTCCCTAGTTTTGAAGGTTCTCATTATCCATCCTGTCATTTATCTAGCAGATGCGATTGATATGTACAATGTTATGGTCCTTGAAGGTGAGATCCTCCGACATGATCACTCCCAGGTCTTTGACGTTGGTGTTTCGCTCTATTTTGTGGCCAGAATTTGTTTTGTACTCTGATGAAGATTTAATTTCCTCGTGTTTACCATATCTGAGTAATTGAAATTTCTCATCGTTGAACTTCATATTGTTTTCTGCAACCCACTGAAAGATTCGGTTGATGTCTGCCTGGAGCCTTGCAGTGTCATGCAGATTCGGGTGTCATCTGCAAAGGAAGACACGGTGCTGTGGCTGACATCCTTGTCTATGTCGGATATGAGGATGAGGAACAAGATGGGAGCGAGTACTGTGCCTTGTGGAACAGAGCTTTTCACCGTAGCTGCCTCGGACTTTACTCTGTTGACGACTACTCTCTGTGTTCTGTTAGTGAGGAAATTATAGATCCATCGACCGACTTTTCCTGTTATTTCTTTAGCACGCATTTCGTGCGCTATTACGCCATGGTCACACTTGTCGAAGGTTTTTGCAAAGTCTGTATATATTACATCTGCATTCTTTTTATCTTCTAGTGCATTTAGGACCTTGTCGTAGTGATCCAATAGTTGAGACAGACAGGAGTGACCTGTTCTAAACCCATCTTGCCCTGGGTTGTGTAACTGATGGGTTTCTAGATGGGTGGTGATCTTGCTTCTTAGGACCCTTTCAAAAATTTTTATGATATGGGATGTTAGTGCTATCAGTCTGTAGTTCTTTGCTGTTGCTTTACTGCCCCCTTTGTGGAGTGGGGCTATGTCTGTTGTTTTTAGTAACTGTGGGACGACCCCCGTGTCCATGCTCCCTCTCCATAGGATGGAAAAGGCTCGTGATAGGGGCTTCTTGCAGTTCTTGATGAACACGGAGTTCCATGAGTCTGGCCCTGGGGCAGAGTACATGGCATGTCATTTATCGCCTGTTCGAAGTCATTTGGCGTCAGGATAACATCGGATAGGCTTGTGTTAACCAAATTTTGTGGCTCTCATAAAAAATTCATTTTGATCTTCGACTCTCAGTCTGGTTAGCGGCTTGCTAAAAACTGAGTCATATTGGGACTTGAGTAGCTCACTCATTTCCTTGCTGTCATCTGTGTAGGACCCATCTTGTTTAAGTAGGGGCCCAATACTGGATGTTGTTCTCGACTTTGATTTGACATAGAAGAAATACTTTGGGTTTCTTTCGATTTCATTTATGGCTTTTAGTTCTTCCCGCGATTCCTGACTCCTATAAGATTCCTTTAGCTTAAGTTCGATATTTGCTATTTCTCTGACCAATGTCTCCCTACGCATTTCAGATATATTGACCTCTTTTAGCTGCTCTGTTATTCTTTTCCATCGCCTGTAAAGGGAGCGCCTGTCTCTTTCTATTTTACATCTACTCCTCCTTTTTCTTAGAGGAATAAGCCTTGTGCATACATCGAGTGCCACCAAGTTAATCTGTTCTAGGCATAAGTTGGGGTCTGTGTTGCTTAGTATATCTTCCCAGCTTATATCGGTTAGGACTTGGTTTACTTGGTCCCACTTTATGTTTTTGTTATTGAAGTTGAATTTGGTGAATGCTCCCTCGTGACTAGTCTCATTATGTCGGTCTGGGGCTCCACGCATATATGTCTGAACCTCAATTATGTTGTGATCTGAGTATACTGTTTTTGATATGTGACATTTCTTATCAGATCATCATTGTTAGTGAAGATGAGGTCTAGTGTATTCTCCAGTCTAGTAGGCTCTATTATTTGCTGGTTTAAATTGAATTTTGTGCAGAGATTTAAAAGCTCGTTTGAGTGTGAGTTTTCATCAGAGCTGCCTCCTGGTGTTATTACTGCAACAATATTATTTGCTATTTCCTCCATTTTAGGTGCCTTAAGTTGAAATCCCCCTGGAGCAAGATGTTGGGTGCAGGAGCTGGAAGATTTTCCAGACAGTGGTCAATTCTTAACAGCTGTTCCTGGAAATGCTGGGATGTTGCATCCGGAGGCTTGTAGACTACCACAATGACTAGGTTTTGGTTCTCGACCTTTACTGCTAAAACTTCCACTACATCATTTGAGGCATTTAGCAGTTCTGTGCAAACAAGTGACTCTGCAATGTACAGGCCAACCCCCCCCCCCCTTTTGCCTGTTCACTCTGTCACATCTGTATAGGTTGTAACCTGGGATCCATATTTCGTTGTCCAAGTGATCTTTTATGTGGGGCCAGTGAAAAGCCACGAACATTGCCTTTGCCTCTGCAAGCAGTCCACGGATAAAAGGTATTTTGTTTTTTGTTGTGGCTTTGACCCGTATATTGCAAAGAAGAAGTCATGGGACGGGGGGTATTGTTGGAACGGGG